AAGCGTGAGCTTCAAATACCAATTCACAGGGAGCATATAGCAGATTGAAAGAAGTGTGCAGTGTAATTAAAAGGGCTGTTCCCATGTCTTCACATTTCTTGTCAAAGTAGCTACATTTATTGTCACACCCAAAGCAATCCTTTAGCCCAAACACACGCAGATTCCTCACCTACAAACTCTCTCCTAAGTTCCCATCATGCTTATATAATTCATAATTTAATTTCCTGGAAGCAAACRTGCAATATTTCTCCTTAACTAAGAATGTCAAAGTTGCCAATGACACCAAATTCCTGAAAAAACTGGACCCTCTGCCCTCGTTTATTGAGCTGCCTGTGTGGGTTTCTTTTCAGCCATAGTCWTTGACACCTGATAGCACTGGAGACAGTCAGAGGCTAAAAGGACAGGTAGAGTGGGATCTGCTAGAGCACAAGGACTGGATGGAGGTCTSGATGTCACCAAGGGAAGGGGAAGGTCAGACTCCAGTCAGTGTGTTTTTCTCTTTACGGGAATCAGAAAAAGGAAAAGAGCCACTTTCATGTCAAGGAACCTTTAATTACTGGCATGCAGATGTATTGTTGTTCAGTAAAAATCCCCCTAGGAAAAATAATACTGGCAATCTGATTTCCTTTTTGGTGTGGCTGCATCTTGAAATATATTGGCATAGTGTGGTTCAGGGACTCTTGATAGTGCTGCTCCCTATCATCTTGCTTTCTCCACAATAAATACATAATCCTTTACTGGATTATAGACACCAGTGTTTTCCCAGTTGGAGGCTGTAGTCCCAAAAATTCCACATCTCTTTTGGCTACAGATTCACCTGTTAATACAATAGGGCCCATCCTGCAGTATCAAATGGAGCTGTTAGCTGTCAGCTGTCATGACATAYTGCAATGGTGGGATTAAAGTTTGAAACCAAGCAAATAGGTCCACCATATTACTGAAAAAAAAGAGCATAAGACTTGTACCARAAATTGTGATTCAGATTTTGTTCCATATCAGAAGCTGGTACAGTCACAGGATCAATTTGCTTTAAGAACAGTCAAGGAAAAACAGTTTCCTCCAGTTGGTAATATAAAGTCATTTTTTAATGCATGAGTACTACCAAGAAAGATCGCACTTTTCACCTTTATATGAAAGTGCTTCAGTTTGGACAACAYTAAGGGGACTAAAAAGGAACAAGAAATTGGTTTGTCTTTGTGTTGTGCATTTGCTGAATATTTTTACTACTTCAGTCATTTTCATTTATATAAATAAAGCTTCTCCTTTTCCATATAAATCTCTCTTGTCCCGAAGGCCTCTCTGCAAATGCAGTAACACTTCAGCAAAGGGTAATTGAAGCTGCAAAAAAGTTACAGCAAAATGTCATTTTTAAAGGGTGTAATGATACATACTGCAGAGACAGGATTTTTAAATTCACTCTACAGAAACTGGCTCCCTGTAGGAATGAGAGACCTGAGGATTTAGAACTATGTTATATTGGCTGCTGCTYCTTCAACCCTCTAGGCAGTAGCTTTCCACAGTAAATGTTGGTTTCATGTGACCATGAAACCCCTGATATTCAAAAAGAGAACATCCTGAAGAACTCAAAGAAGAACTAAATAAATGGAGTGCACCAAAAAATTATAGCAGGAATGTTTATTGTTCCTTAGCAAGATCAGCTGCTACCAAATCTTTTTCTGAGATGTCACTCCATACATGCTAGCCTGAACTCACTTTATCTCTAGAGCTGCTATTCCCCTTATACCTCAAGGCAACAAGATAATGAAGTGTAGTTGCAGAGAAGACGTCTTGCAGACAAGAAATATCTTTCAGAATTTTAACAAGCTTTTTATGGTTTATACTTTCATTTTKCATATTCACGTAGCATTATCTTTTTCCAGCAGGAATCTTTGATACTTGATTTAACCAAGTGACCATTATTTATGCTCTTAGTGGCCTCTAAAGTCAGCAGTCATTAGCAAAAATAAGATACCAGGAATGTTGCACTCTGGTGTGATAGAAGATAATAACTGTGATTTGTACATCTCCGTTTTATTCACTCTATGATCGGTTKAAGTCAGTGGAAGACAAAACCAGAAATCATTAGATGATCCAATAACTGATTTAGGAGATAATTCAAGTTTTGGGTTCAACTGCTGRACCATGACTGGAGGTAGTTTCCTGATTGCACCTTTGGGAGCGTTAAATTCCAGAAATATCATATCAGGGAGGACAAAGAAGATTTGTAGAAGCTTTGTAAAACCTGAACTAGACTTACTGATTTGAGTTTATTCTTCCTGAGCATAGTTCATTTACCAAATTGGAAAAAGTGTGCTAAAGATAATACAAAGTAAAATCTCTTCTGGCTTAATGTCGTAGCTACACTTCTACACATTTTGCTTCCATTATTTTCTTTCCTTTAGTTTCAAATGCAAATAAAAAATCAAACATATCTTTCTTATCTTTTCATGATTCAACTCCTCATCTTGTTACCATACCAACTGCATTAAGTGTTATTCAAATTTCTGCTTTCAGTTAAGGGCTAGAAACTCAAAACATCAAATAAATTCTGAACTGGCAGACTAACACAGTGATTTTTCCAGAGCTGACTGTACCGCCAACACAGTAGTTATTCATTCTCTGCTGAAATTGAAGGAGTATTTTTTTCTTCCTAAGATAGACAGGTTGCCTGTGTAGAGAAGAAGTAGGTTAGTTTTCTGTAAGTTTTTTTTGTAGGAGGATAAAAAAATGGATGATAACACCATCCTCATTTTGTTTTTCTAAAGCTTTGAGCCAGAACCCTCAAGAATTTTGACAGCCATTAGCAGTGGCATCCCTTTGTGCTTTCCATTTTAGATATTTACAAAAATTCTTTTTCTCTTCTGTTTTTAGCACAAGAAGAATGGGCCACAACCCGTTCCAGCCTAAAGGCACCACCTCCAAGGTCAGCCAGAGGGGGTTACAGGGAACACCCCTATGGTAGATATTGAAGGTCCTCCTCATCTGTGACCTCATCTCAAAGACAATTAATAGCCTGTGGTCTCCACATAAACAGCAACAAGACAAGTAATAGTCCATTTCTTTTCTATCCTAGGGATTACTGCTCATTATTATCCTATGTACTACTTGTATTTCCAATAACATTGGCGTGACATTGGCATTAGTATTATTTTATAACACGGACTTAAAAAAAACAGAGACAAAAAACCTTTGGCAAGCATTGTCTATAAACTATTCAAAGATGATGTTTTGTTGGTTGTATTCATTGCTGTGTGTAACTTAAAAAGCATGACACTGTTACAGATCTTGAGTCTCTCTACATACTAGCTAAGGCTGAGTTTCTGTTTAGGGTTGCTGAAAGACTGTAATATGATTTTTTTTTTTCTTTTTTTTTTTTTTTTGAGCCAGACAATAATCAAGCTGTAGATAAGATGTTTTAACCTGTCTTTTTTAATATATGTTAGTTTAGATCAAGATGTTCGATATTAAGTTTGTAAATTTAATTTTAAATGCTGTTTTAATGGGGTTGAAAAMAAGCAGCTACTGTATGTATGTAGCTAACTGAAGTTGTTCAGTGTTTTAACCTGTATTTGTTAAAAAAAATCACTTAAAGTTCCATGTGTAAGCTTCTCTAAATAGGAAACCATAATTTTGTCAAATATGTTTGCCATAATTTGTCAATAAAGCTGAAACCTTTTGTAACAAACTAAATTTGGAATTACTTGTTTTCTAGCTTTAAATGCCTGCTTTATTTCTTTTTCAAGAGATGCCTAAAATGTTTTTATATAAAAATTACAAAAATGAACCCAAGCCTGTTTTAAGATTTTTTGTGTAAGAATTTAAAAGTTGTATTAATAACTTCTGGTTGTTAAATAATATAAAAGTTAACAAACTAAACTGTTACATGAATCATGGTTAGTATCCACTAATGTATAACATGTTAATGGAAAAAAATGCTTTAGAACAATAAATGGATTTTAAACTATCCTTTAAGCTTGATCTTGCTAAACACAAACTCTGATTGACTTGTTTGTATTAGCATGTCTCTCGTGAGAATGTAATGGAGTTTAAAGAGGTAAGATTACCACTTACCACTGTTAGACTGTCTAAATGCTAGTTCTTCAACCTTTGAGTTTCCCCGCACATTAAATATCCCATTCAACATGTAAGCATTGCATAGATTCACCTATTTGTTTTCACTCAGAAGAGTGCGTTGACTGCATTTTTCGTAGTATATAACAATTTGTCTTGATAAACAAATCATCAGTGTCACTGCCCAGTTGTTGGTACTCAACTTCAAAAACTTTATTTGTAATTTTCAGTGCTAAATATCACCGCCCTTGAAGGCAGTTTAGAGGGCTGATATTTCTTTTGAGACTATCAGACTTGATGGCTGATGATTATTAAGGAAATATGTCGCAGGACTCAAAGGATGACTAAACGTTAAACAGGTAACACTAATAGTAACTCTGTAATTTTGAGTATGCAACAGCAATGTAAAATATTCTCAGTTATTAAGTTACTGATAGTTAAAAAAGTAAACCTACCAAAAGATAACAAATAGGTATATAGGCTATTAAAACAACTAATTAACATTAACTAGTGACAACAAAATTATTTTACAATATATAACCCTCAAGGTAATAAACAGAACTAAAATTAACAATAATAGTAATGCAACTCTTGCTAACAACAAATATATAACGTAAATTTTGATGAAGAAAAAAAAAGAACAGAAGACTTGATGGTAGGGATGCCAAAACTGTTAATGCTTTAAATACAGTCTTTTTGTTTACAGTGGCTTTTTGTCAATGTGATTGGTTTACTTTTTTGATGCGACTTAAGTACAGGCTGATTGCTGTTCAATTTGTGAACAAAATCTYTTGCAGCTGGAGTTGCATGCTAGCTCTTTTTGAATAGTCTATGATGAGTATGTTTTGTCCTTTGAAGTGTTAAAGTGAACTGAGTAGGCTACACGATGGTTACATTGAGTTTATTCTGTCTCACTATTTCAGGGACTCACAGGCACTGGACAGATAAGCAGCAGATCTGCTGGGAAGCGGTCAGGTAAGCGCTGCTGCATCTCAGGGGCTTTTCCTATTTATTTCCTCTTTTATCTGTGCATTTGTTTTTACTAACACACTTACTCAGCTACAGTTTTAAAATAAATGTCTTTCCAGCAATGTTTCTCTGCRTATCAACATAGTGATTATGGCATAATGGCAATCAAAACATTTACAGATATGTTGTGATACTTTGCATTTAAATAAAGAAGTCTTATCATTAGCCTTTTAATTGTAAATATTCAGATGGTATATTTTATTACTAAATTCTTGCTAAAAACATGGGCTTCTCTTTATTAAAAGCATGCCTACATTTTGGCTTGTTGCATCACAAAGAAAAATATAATACTAGCTTGTTTTTGCTTCTGAAAATATTTAACATTTCTTCATATGAAAAATATCTGTATAGAGACAGGAAGTTTGTTATTTATTCTTATGCTTGGTACGTTGGGTTATTTTTATGCTTTAGAATGTCAGAGACATTCATGGTGTTATGATACAATGGCATGGATTGAGGCATTACTTATATTTCTCTGTTAAATACATATAAACGTAAAGGTTTATCTTGGTTGACCTTCTCAAATAGACTTCAGGTTATCTGTGAGATTTTTGACTGAAAACAAATGTCACTGCTGAAGAGAAACAAAAAAAATTCTGCTCGTTTATGACTTTGTCCATGAACTCAGAAGTGTGAACCTAATCACAATACAAAAAGTACAAATTCTGGTCAGCATTGTTCAACTAGATAAGTTATACACAAATACAAAATCCTAGACACRTTTATTACTCTGGCATCTTTCCCCATACCTGTGGTCTGGCTGATGTAACATTTTCCAGGTGTGGTGGTATTCAACAGTTACTTACAAACCACAAGTTGTGTTGTAGAACAAGATGTTAAGGATTTAATTTTCCTTTCCAATGAATTACCTCAAGATCTTTATAAATTTGTTTTATTTATGTGCTACAASCACTCTACAGACCAAAGTGATATAACATGGCATTAAGGGTTTCTGCATATTGCACTCACATCACTGTGAGTGTAGGAAAATCTTCCATCTGCCCACCTTGCATGTAGTTATACAAATTTGCTTCAGTCAGTCTATGTCTCTCCAGAAAAGAAAAACACTTTCCATGGCCATAAATAACTTCATGCTTGTAAAAGTGTGATTATCGATTATTATGTATTGTAAGTTTTACTATATGAGTATTCCAGGAAATGCCCATATCCCTTACTAAAATGATTAATTACACAAAGCTGTGAGCAGGTCATACCTGTTGAAGTGAGATTCAGAGTAAAGTAGATAAAATTAATTTCTCACTTGTGCATCACATGTGAGGCTAACTACTGTGAACTCTTTGAGGATGGACTTCAATAAATAYAGCTTTATAGCAGAGCAGTGTCCTTTAATATTCCTGTCTCCAAGTCCACTTAATAGCCAGTACTTGTATAGATTTTATAAAATGACAGAAAATGCCAGTACAATTATGCATTGTGAAATATTCTTACATAAGAATTACCTAGAAAAAGTAGGTTAAGGGTGTGCAAGCAAGCAAACCTGTGTTTATGCAAACCTTTTTTCTATTGTTTTTCAGCAAAATCGTATGAAAAATTATCCATGACTGCATGTGCTGTTCTGTGCTAACTGAAAGTTTATTTCACTGCTGTTTCTGAAGAAATCATGCAGTTAATCAGTTATGTCTTAGGAAAAACATAATCTACTTCATTAGTTTTTGAGAGACTAACAGAAGAGTCTGGTTATTGCAATTAACAGGTATCTTCAGGTCTTCCATGGAAAGTTGTGACATATTTTACACATCCACCAATCAGGTCATCTATAATTCTGAGGTCCTGAAAACTTACGTGCACTGCCAGAGAACATGTAAATTCAGTCATGCTACAGATCACTCCAAGACACTTGTCCCCAGAAAAAAAAAACATTTTCTTTGGCTTAATTCACATGCCAATTACTTTTGGTTTCAATAGGAATAAAAAACCAATATACAATATCAAAATAAATGAGTAAAAACACTAGAAAAGATAAGTTTAAAATGTAAAACTTCTGTTCAAATATTTCTAAGACTTTTTTTGTTTGTCCAGGTTGACATCATAATATAGAACCATTTGATCTTTAGAAGAAAATAGTGCAATAGAGTTTTTAGTACTTTTTTTAGTAGTTAAATCAGCAAATTATTTTTTACCAAACTTTTTGCATGTATTCAAGAGCCATTATGATTGAAAACATCAGGTATTTCTAGAGCAGAAAATTTTATTAGAAAATGATGTAGCATCATGTAACTATTTCTTTCCTATTCAGTGTTTGTCTGCAGCGTTATCTTCCAGTGTTCAAACAAAGATCTTAAATCTCAATATGAATAAATGAAGAACCTTAGGAAATACAGTGTATCTGACTTCACCACAGAGGATACTGAGAGTGTTTTTGTAGCTCAGTGAGGTCCTCAACCTCCATTCACAGTGACAGAGGTACAGCCATAAAACCAAGAAATCTCCATCCCCTTCCATAACTATTCTCCAGCCCAGCCATAACTACTCCATTATACTCAGACATGTGCACACTTCCAAATTGCACAACATTGATGTTAGTGATGGTGAGTGAGGGCAGGAGAAGCACATCACTGTGTCTGTGATAGCTCTGAGGAAATGGATGTGCAGACCTTGTGACTGAGCACAGCAGCGTGGAAGGGCCTGGGTCTCTCATTGCCAGGGAGCTGCCAAAGCACAGCCACAACTGAGACACCAACTGCGTATCAGGGATTTAGTGCAGCACCAAAGGACCATCAGAGTCAGGAGAATTAGCACATATGAGTGCATCAGTCGAAAGGCTTCATATTTTATCATGGTAATATGGATTTATGGTAGTCCTCATGAAATATCATCCAAGATTGTTCTCTGAGGGTTAAAATCAAGAACAAGTAGTAAGCAACATACTGTGTTTCAATCAATAAAATTTGGGCTACATTAGTGATGTATTTCCTCCATGTTTGACAGTAGGAGTCTTGTTTTGTGAACTGTCTTTCTAAGAAGTCCAAAGTTTTGCAAGAGTCAAATACTGCAGCTACAAAATTATAAATGGAGGTAAAGGAGAATCATGGAATAAGCTAAGCATTGGAGAAATAAAGTCTTTAATAATGGGTGAAAGAACCATATGATCAATTAAGGAAAGGAAGTCCTAGAACAATTTCCATATTGTATTCCTTTAACACGCAGAAACAAGTTAAAAGTCAAGACTGTATAAAAGTTAAGTAGGGGTAGCAGTGGATATCAGTGTTCTTCATGCAGCCTTCTTAGAGAAACATCATATTCTGTAAAGTTTAATGGTTCGCTTTCCTTCTTTTATGGAAAAATACTGGGTAATATGAAAAAACAACTGAGACACTCTACCTGAATTTCCTGAACAGCTACATATTTTGATAGAAAAATGTTCTCCTCTAATCTTACGTAATTTCTTTTGTAAAAGAAACAGCAGATCTAAACAAGATTATAACCTCTTTACACAGTTTGCTGACAACTTCTTAGCAAAGATGTTAAAGACATTTTTTTAAATAAGTATTATCTGATTTCTTTTATAATAATGTAGAACTTCAAGAAAATGGCTCAAGACTGCAAGAAGATAAAGTAGTTTGAGAAAAACATTCATACAGTCAGAATCATAGAATAGATTAYAGATGACAAAGAACCATTTTATCCCTATATCAAAATGTATGGATTTTTAGGGTTTGGGTGGACAGAGTTCATTTGTAGATGCTTTTTTTCAAGGTAGGATTAAAAAAAAAATTATTTCACTGACAGATTACAAAATTTTCATGCAAGAAGAACGGCCATAATTGAAAAGTTTGGCTGTACTTAATGTACAGAGTAAAGATCACATTTGTTACTATTTCATATCATCCTCTGTTGTCAGCAGAATAATCAAAGTACTAAAACAATCCTAATTAAMAAGTAAAATCAGAGGAAAAGCTGAAAAATATTTGAATGCTAAACAAAAAAAGCATTCCTGATGTCTTTTGAAGTTTTTTGTCCTCCATTAAAAACTTAGATGCACTCTGTGACTTCTGTCAGTTATTAAAACCCAAGAGTTATCAAAAGAAATGCCATGTGTTATCAATTTGATTGTATTGGTCTGCTGAGACAGAACAGGCACACAGGTAACTTTCTCAAACCAATTATAGCTTCAGAGATGATCACCATCATCCACTCTCTTTGCTAATTAAATTTTTCTAGTCATTACTATTTATCATTGAGACCTGACAGAAACCTTTGAAATCATTAAGCCTTTCCTCTTTCTTCAATTGGTTTTGTTTCTGGTCCTGTAGGTCAGATGCTAACATTCATTTGTAGACATTAAGGAAAATGATTCCCACTGAAAGATTTGCTGATCTGCATAGTTATTAGACAATTTATCAGCTTTGCTCATGAGTATGCTGGTATGACTTCACTAAAAGTGAAGACATACTGTAGAACCATATTTATGTTCTGAAACCATGGAGTCTGAACTGTGCCTGCCAGCAAGAGTACAGGAAAGATCTTCTGTCCTTTTAGAATCTCTGGTTGACTAAGTAATCTGTATTACATCTCAGCAGAATATGTTGAAATACAYCTCTAAAACATACATATCTGGAACAAATTTTTCATCCTCAAAGAGAGGCAAATTTTGTCAAGTATAAGAAATTCAGATTTCTAAACTTCTACTGAAAACATGTCACTGTTTTAAAGGTTTGTTTTTCTTACATAAATCCTATTAAAAGGCTGTATTGGGTTGATATTGAAAGGCATAAATGTCTCCTTTCCAAAAATGATTGAATTAATTTTGAAAYCTAGTGTGCTTTACCAGAGAACAGCAAGATCTGTTGAGAATGCAATTGCAGACGTATTTCAAATATGTAAATCAGAAGGAAGGTTTATTGGAGGAAGATCACACCTGTGCAGTAATAGTGTAAGTCATCATTCACTTATTAAGAAGAAAAAGATGTGTAGCTGGTTGTCTGTACCCTGCATATGCCCTAAGAATTTTTCAAGATGCTATAAGGAAATGATCAGAACATGCTAATATGTTTTCACAACGTTTGGGTGTACAAAGAGGAAAATAGAAATGCTTCAGCACCCTGATAAGAGTAGAATTAATGATGAGAACAATGTTTTTTGTTTGTTTCTGTGGGTGCTGTACCTCATTGATTTAATGCAGGTGTCRTTTCTTGTTACACATTATTATTATTCGGTGTGAGAGTACCTGCTTATATCATGTTTGGCGCTGTTGTTGCCATGCCAGATGCATTAGCTCGTGATGGATGGCTCAGTCACAGGAAAGCAGTGAATACCTTTGGTACATGCCCTTGCATTGCAAGACCTTCACACTGTGTTACCACCAAGTCAGAGGTACAAACTGCTGAGCTGCTCATCTGTGACGCAGCATTCAGGGTGGGCTTGCTTTCTGTACCTCTGTAAACAGAACAAAATGAGCAGATTTCTTGTATCATGATTTACTGTATTCACTTCTAACTCCATATTCATTGCTTAGCTAATAATTCATTGTATTTCTCCCTGAACTTTGTAACAGTCCTGTGAAACCAGTGGCATAATTCAGTGAAAAGGTCTTGCCAATGCAGCCTCTTTCTTTTTCTTTTTTTTTTCCCTTTTTCCTCTTCTTCCCAGGAGAACATAATGTTTCATATACCTACTTTAGCTGAAAAGATAATCAAGAACACCATCATTCAAACAAAGTGCTATTCGCTAATAATACAGGAATTTAGTTTAGTGTTCTCTGAGTATTTAAAACTCATAGGGTTCTTTTTATTATTCTGTATGGTATTTTGAGTATTTAATACCTTTTCAATATCTGTTTTGAATTCATGWTGTGAAGATACAAACAACTGACAGGGATGTTGTATTACATTGAATTCCACTTAAGCAAAGTAGCTTTCTGATAGAGAATTTAATCCTGCAGATCTTACCCAGGTTTCATACACTAAAAATCCATGCTGACATCAAGGACTGAAAATGGAATATGAAATTCACAATGTGATCTGTAGTCAGTTTTATAATTTAATTAAATTCAAACAGAACACTTTCTGTTAAGGACTGGATTGCATCATTCCAGCCCACGTCGTGCTTAGCAGCAGTGTGAAATAACTTTGATCCAGGAAGGGTACTTCAGATACAGTACCAAATCAAAAATTTACTTTTTATGTCATCATAACTAATCTTCCTATGTGCAAGAAAAATATTTGGTTGGAGGTACTTGCTTGGGACTGTTGCTCACTCAAATCTCAACTTGGCAATCAAGTTCTTCCATTCATGGCAGTCACCACTTTGTTTTCATGAGAACTAACAAATTTCTGAAGGAGGCACAATACTTTTTGTATCACTGAACTTGTTTGCAGATCTAAGGCTAAAATGGGTTGCCCGTTAGACTGTGAAGGCCTGTGGGATATGTGCTTCAGGGAATCTGATGCTCATTTGAAAGAGTTATTGGGACCCCAGTAATGCTGCATAGTCTTTACAAATCTGAAATAGCACCTATACCTTAAAAGAAAATCACTGCATAGAACTCAAAATGCTACTGAAGGCAGCAGGTATTTTAATCTCTGCTGTGTAATGGAGAATTAGAAAAACAGTGAGGCTGCATGATTGGGCTGRGGTCACTCAGCAGCTCAAAGTGATGTAATAACAGGCAATTAGCAAAGCAGCAGGTGAGGGTAAGAAGCTTAATGAAGAAATGAAACACAGGATATGTTCTGAGCTGGGATTTGTTTTGAGAACTGAACTCCCTTGTCCACTRTTCCTGGGTACCATTCCTAGGGACCATTCCTAAACATGCCAGAGTGACAGTGAAGAAGCCTGTTATTATTATCTTCATCCAGTTCCTCCATAATCTTGTTTTTTTATAGCTGCATCACCTGTTGCCATGGTAAGTTTCTCATGCTGTATGTTTTAGACAAACAAGAAAGACATCTCGAAACGCTGATAAGGGCTTGAGATTCCTGGTAATACCCAATGTCCTCCCCAAGGCACTGAGCACAATGGGACTGGACCCTAAAAAGCTACATATTCTTAAACTTCATGGTGCTTAAAGTTCTAGAAATAACAGGAGTTCTGTTTTAGACCATTTTAGGGATAATTTTAGATTCTGAGTCATTTATTTGGGTTTTTCTACTTTGGAGTCTGCTTAGCTAAATTAATGGAAATAAGGTGGCTGACTTTGTAATACATAGTCAACTAAAAATAACCATGAGAACATGTTTAAGGATATAGAAAACATTTTTTTAGTACAAAAACATTTTATACCAGATTCTTTATCTGGACTTACTTCAATGACTCATTCTCATTCATAACGCTCACAGATAAAATACAGATGGTTTCTGCCCAATCCAAGGATTTTGGTCAAAATTCTAAGCAGTTCAGAAAAATAAAAGATCCTTTTTTGTCAGATCCAGAAGCAGATATTTGGGGTGCATGGTGGAGGAGCCAGGAGAAATACATAGGACAAGCAAAAGCTCTGTCTTTATTAGCAAATCAGATAGGATCATTCTGGTGCTATCTCAGATTTTTTTTCCCAGGGCTTGTAATTTTCATTCCACTGTCTTGCCAAATGTACAAGTTGGCATCTGTGGYAATGCATAAGGGTTGTGTGCCCAAATAGGCTCTCAGCCACTGGCTGACATTCCCAGTGATTTGGGTTACAAGTGGAGGGTGTTTARTGACAAACAGCTGAGGTTGACTAAAACAGAGAAATGGATTATATTATTCTCCAGCACCTCTACCAGCAGTTTTATGTAAGGGTAGGCAAATTGCCCAAAGTGAAAGCTTGCTAATGTTGTGTTTCTTCTTGTCTTGAGATCTTACAACGACTCTTTAGATCTGATTTTCCTAAGAGTTACAAGTGGCATCATCAGCTGTGCCTGACTGTGTAAGGTGCTGTTTAACGTTAGGTGCAAGCCTTCAGTTTCACAGGGAATGTAACAGTGTTGACTGTTTTATTTTAACTCAGGAATTTAATAAACAATTAGTTACACTAATGAGATATTCACATAGTATAGTCACAAATGACACAGAAAGCCAACTGCAAAATTCATAAATTTGTCAAGAAAAATTAAAGTTTTAAATAGAGTTAAGCAAATTAATATAGGAAAAACACACTGAATAATGAGGATAAAAGAAATATTGAATAGCTGTTCTTTCAGTGTCCTTTCTTGTGCATGAAATCAAGCAGCAGAAAAATTAACTATTTAAAACTCAGCGGTTGAAAAAAAAAACAACCAAACAACAAAAAAAAAAAAAAGCAAGCAAAAAAAAAAAAAAAAAAACAAAACAAAAAAAAAAAAAAAAAAACCTCCAAAAATTTAACTCAGACACTGACTACATCAAATGTATACATGACAAGACCTGAGTTGGGTGTCACTGACCTATAACTGATATTTAACTAATTCAGAGTTCTTGGCTTACTTTAACCATTTATTTTGCAAGCCTGATGTTTATACCTACCTAATACTTTCMATCAAAGAAAAATGTCTCCATGTTTGTGGAAAGGTTTACACAATTGGCAAATCGAGGTTTCCTGTACCATAAACTTGCCTWGGATATAAGGAATTCCCCTGAGTGACCCAAAAATTGTTTTCCGATTCTGTCATGGAAATCTATTTGTTTTGGAGAATATGAGACATCCACAAAGTTGTATTTGCCTACTCAGTGAACTTGCTGGAAGCCATAGAAAGATGTCTAGATTCCCCTACTCCACTGATCAGGAYTTTTTTCTTTTATGTGAAGTTACCTTGGTGTAAAACTTGGGGAAATACTGAGCACATTCACCTAGCTTCCAATACTTATTTTTGCTGCTGCAGGTACTTAGGGTACCTATTAATTTAGGGGAGTGATCTTTGATCTTTGCTTAGAGAAAATAATTCAGAATACCTAAGCCAGATGCTCTAAAACACTCTGGATGTATCTTATCTCTGTTGGCTGGCRGAAGAGACTAACTCAGGGGTTTAAAAAATGCCTTCCTCTCCACCCTGAATCTTTAAATCTTAAATCCTTCTCTCTCCATTCACTGATTTTAATAAGAACTTGTTTTWATTAGTCTCTCATAGGCCTGATTTTGTTAATATTATCAAGAAGTGAAACACAATTCCAAACCAGCTTGTTCTTAAAAGTTCCCATTCTCATCCATACCAGCACCCAGAACTAATTTACTCTGGAATAATATAATTACTGTGCTGTAATATCTGCATAAAGACTGTTGGTGTTCATAAAATTTCACCCCTACAAACCTCCTTTTTTATTATTTCGCCAAAAGCATCCTCATACTATTGTGCATGGACTGTGAGCCTTCATCTCAAGCAGATGATTGCAGGTGCAGAAAAGGTATTGAGTTGGCACCTGATAAATTTGTAGCAGTATAAAAATTAAGAATTTAGATGAGAAATCCAGGCTAAAATGATAGCTAAAKTTTTAAATATAAACTTTACTAAAAGGTTCAAAAAGTCAAAAAGAAATCAAAAGTWGAAATAACAGTGTTTAGTTTGTTCCTTTCCCTCTATTTTGCTCTGTTGTTCACACTCATGGAGACCTGAAGCAGGTGATCACATACTCTCCCATTCTGCTTGTGCTTTGCAGGGAACAAGAATGTGCTAGAACTGTGTAACAAATCCYGTTGCTATTTTTTGTAACTGCTTTATGCTTTATCTCATAGCGTGCAGAATTTAAAAGGTAATCCCTTCCAAGAGTTTTCTGTCATCCAAACTATAACCCTGTGTCACAGAGATGCTATGTGAAGCTACATAGGTCATTTAAGCTAAAATATTAATGTGACAACTAATTTTATGTTCTTCATTGAATATGTCTGCCCAACTTTATCTTGATTTTCAGATTTTTGGAGCCTTAGGGAAGTACTGTACCTTTTGAATGGTGTTCAGGGAATTGAGAGTGCTCAACATCATTTGCAATAAATCACTGACTTCTGAAGGACTGAGCCTCAGGTTGGGACTCTCCAAAGCCAAGAGTTCTGGACCTGCCACTAACACCCTCTCTAGGATCTGCCACCACTCAGACTTACAGTGATTTCCAGTCTATCAGGTGAGCTGTGGTATTTTTCTGTATGGTTTTAGTTTATGTCAAGTGTGAGATAATTAGGTCACCTCAGTCTGCAAAAAATAAGATCATTTTAAACTAGTTCATATTATGTTTGTCACTGGAAAAGAGCTTATACCAAGATAGCTCAGTGCTTGTTACTTTCAGATAGGGCAGTTTGATTATATATTTAAGTTCTTACACTCTTTTTCTGTCATAAATAAAAATAATAGTTGATCATCTTCCTCACAGAAGTAACATAGTAATAAACAAACCATATTTGTGCAGTGTATTAAACATAGAAATTGTTTTTAAAAATGCCAGATAATTGATCTCCCCTTGGGATCAGCTAACTCACTGACAGAGTCATGTGAAAACCAAATTTTTCGGATTCTGTTTTTTTTTTACTCTGTTCTCCACTTGTTCATCTCTGGAAACATTGGTATCTTTATTGAGCTGCTGTGAGCATTCACTTATTAAGGTTCCTACCATTCACTTACTGTAGCATTGTTGCTACAAAYGATGCACAATGAAAATCTGTTAGAAAGTAGGTAAAACTACAGCAGCAACCATTTGGATGGAGAAGAGAAAACAAACAAGGGTTGTACCACTAGGGTTTAAGACAGATTCAAATATTTGATTCAATCTTATAACCAGAATGAGTTAGCTCTTATGGAGAAAAGGGTAGTAGGGGGTCCTGTAGTTAAAGGCTGTATCCTCTTGTATATACTAAGGAACATCATGTAGTTATACTAGAAATTATGAATCTAACATTTCCTAAATCCTCCAAGCTAAATACTGAGTTGTATCTTTCTATAATAAGCTTAAATACATCCCTATGTCATCGAAAAGAAGAATTACTGCATTTAGTTACACACAATTCTAGACTTGAGAAAAAAAATCAGTGTATTTTTCAAGATTCTTTCTCCTGGCTAGAGCTGGAAATAAACCGTAGGTGACAGTGTTCACACTCCAGTTTTATGTAGGCTGTGAGTGAGATAAAGAAATGGGTGAAAATATGCAGCTTTCTTAAGGGTTTACTTAGATTCTGCATAAGTGTGTTTACACTGTAAATAGTAATCTAGGGCTCTTAGAAATGTTTTTATTTACTATTATTTTTGTTTTGCACATAGCAAATGAAAGAACAAGGAAACTGCACTGCATCACACAGAATGCTGTTCATCAGAACCAAAATACCTTTACTTAGAGCCCAAACTCCTAACCCTTATACCACATTTCCTACAATGTCTTACAAGGGGGACTTGGAAGTAGGTGATCATTTTCACCCTTTGCCTAAAGAAAATGATTTAGTATTCTTGGAAACTTGAGAGTAGTAGTTCCTTTTCATTTGATAATGCCTACTTTTAATAACTGATWGATAAAATATTTCAGAAGGTTGGAAGACTCTCCTTATATTTCTAGAAGATGAAAAAAGTCTATAGAGGAAGAAAGGGAAGTCTGATTTTTCCCCATCCTGGACAAGTCAGGATTTTGTAGCAAAACCTCTRATTCCATTATTTTCTTGCATTTTCTGATTTTTTTTTTTGGTTTTCAGCTGCATGTGTATACCTATATAAACATAAATACTCTATTCAGATCCAAAGGACAATTTAACCCCTTTTCAGGTATTTGTCAAAAAAAAMCCCAAATGGGGTGAAATGCCCTCTACTCTTTAGAGAATGTGCCTAAATGCCTAGTGTAGACTATGTAGCTGTCTTTTAGGTAACTCAGATTGGGCAAAATTAATCCCAACCTTTAATTATTAATTTTTATGGAACAAAGTTTTAAATTTCAGTTGTGGGAGCTGCTTTCATTAAAAGCTACAGATTTTTGATGTCATATCATATTATTAATTAAATTGTGTAGAGCTGGGAAGAACAAGGCTTGACTTTGGAGTTTGATGGAAGCCTGTTCTGTGCCCAATGCTCTGTTGTCAAGCAAGAAGTTGAAAATTGGGCATGGAGAAGCAGAGCCCAATGCACAAGGGCTTGGCTGTGAACAGACCATTCAAGGCTTTGCTTTGAGCTTTTCATGCACCTCATTCACCTCATGGCAACTGGCCTGTGGAATTTTCTAGAAGTGTCTTTTTCCATATTCCACTTATGCTAATTCTTTCCTCTGGTGGCTTTGTTCTTAAATTGCTTGTTTAGTAAAGAAATAGGATTTGTTTAGGAGGAGGCACTTCTGTTATAACTCTCAGCATTTTCAAAAGATAGATTAGACATTTCTTTCTGTTTGAGCACTGAAGACATACCTCCATTTTCAGCAGCATTGACAGCCTGCAGCTTTCACTGGTCTCAACCTCAGGTTCTCAGAAACCTGCAGTCATCACTGGCATACAAGATSTAAACATCCTGACCCAAACCAGCTTCTTCGTACTTCTTGTCTTGCATCTTTATACAGATACTGTTGAAATTAATATGTTACAGATTTCTGAGACAGCCAGCTAGTACTAATGAAAGCTGGAGAAGAACTGAAAATGCATATATCACATGAATATTTCACTATTAGCTGGAATTGCAGCTGAAGTGAGCCGCCTGCTTTATAAAAGCATCCCCARTGACTGGGATATGTTGCTGTAGTCACACACCACAATGATGATCTACAAAACAGGTAAGTGTATGAGGAGGTAAACTATGAAAGTATATGCATTTTTCTCAAGATAGGTAGAATTAAATGTTGGAGAACACTCAGCCTGAAGCTAATATATGTAAGACACTATCCTAGTAATAAGGACATTAAACTCTCAGTTAYTCCCAGGCCTTACTGGTGAGTTCTGTGGGCATGTCTGTAACCCCTCTGCAGCATGTAAGTTTGGGTGACTAATCTCTCCTTATAACACTGACACAGAGATAAATGTTCAGCTAGGGCAGAATTTAGCCCTTAGGCTGCATCCTGAACTCTCTTTTCTCTCAAAGTCAAATATTATTTTTAGCTTTYATTGACCTGACCAGCTGACTCCACTCAGCATTTTTTTCTGGTCAAATGCCCTGCTCCCCGTTTGTGTCAAAGCTGACTGACCAAAGCAGTTGTGTTCTTCAGGCATGAAATGGATTTTTATTACTGAGGTCCACAGTGCAGATCATTGAAAGTTATGTAATAATATGGGAGGACATATAATTGAAAGGYTGTCAGAAGATAAAAGTGTATCAAGCTTCCCAGAGCATTCACATTGCAGCTGCTGAAGCTGGCTGACATTGAAAGAGCGATTGAGGGCTCGGTGCCGGCCCCTCTGGTGCTGCTGCTCCTCGGTGCTGCCTGGTGAAATACCACACACTCTGCACCAGCAGCTTTAATACAGGAGTTTTCCATTAAAGACATTAGCTGCTGCAGTTCACAGTAACTTCTAGGTCAGCTCAGCTGCTAGGGACACAGTTCTTTGTCCTTGAGTAGGCAGGATTGCCTTCCTCCTGCTCTTCCCACTGGAGCAGAGAGGAAGGAGAGTGTGAGTACACATGGAACAATGCACAACAAGTGAGTAACTGCAATACAGGCATATATTATTCTTGGATTTGTTTTAAATGTCAAGCAATAATACACGAGAAATAAAAATAAGTCTTTAACTATCCTGACATTCTCCTAAATGTGCAGTAAAACCGTAAGAGATTCCTGTATTTACTACAAATAATAAAACCAGAGTGTTAGACTAATCAAATTCAAATCAGTTCAACTGSATAATTTTCAGTGAAGAGGTGCTTATGAAACACAGAATGAACTCCAGAAGGGAAGGTTCATTGCTTCCTAATCAAAAGCAGTCAGCTTTAAACACCAGCCAGTCAGGTGATGGGTTTGTCATTTCTCAGCTGTGCTCTTGGAGGGAATTTGCCAAGAAGGYTTGACAGCCTTTAAACCTCGCAGAGCATTTTTTGTTTCTGAACGTCATGTTGATCTACAAAAACTCCTGGGAGAACGGGAGGAGAGGCAGAATAACASCAGTTCCATTAAAATATATTTGCTGCAATGAACGTCAAGCAGAGTTTATGGTATGAAAAAACAAGTATTTCCTGAAAAGAAATTTTCACCACCCCTCAGGTCTGATTCTTTCTTGTCTAATGATGTCCAGCTACTTCAGGGGACTGAGGAGTGTCAGTGATTAATTGGCTGGGTGTCAGAGAAATAGAGGCTCGTAATGCATCATTAAAAACTAGAAATCAGGGTGTCTGARTTATGATGGGAAGCTTAAAATTAATATATTGCTGCTACATGCAATTAACAGCCCGAGTCAGAAATCATTTGCTTTCATAATTTAGAACAATGGCAGCTCTCCAGTGAAAACATATTTACAGTAGTTTTACATTGCTTTCTAGAGGCTYAGTACAAAAGGGAGAGACAAAAATTAATATGCACCGAGGCAGTTAAAGTGAAACCTGTCTTTGAGCTGTTCTTTCATTTTAATCAGCATGAGGTCTGCTAAATAGGGAAAAGAATTATGAGTAGGTGGTGTGAGCGGCTGAGGGCAAATCACTCTCAGGGGAATAAGTTTGCAGTTTGAGCAACAGAGTCTGACCTTTGCAGAACTTGGGATGAACAGGTCTTCTCTATTTTAACCCAGCATGAGCAGCAATTGCAAGGCAGCCCTTGAAGCCCCTCAACCATCTTCCCTTACATGAGGGTCTGCTCTCCCCTCCAATAGCAGTTACAACATTGTGCTGGAATAATTTTTCAATGTCTTCTATTTCTATCATTCTAGTGTCTTTTATTTCATATCCTAAACTTTGGTACCTCATACATGTTTTAGTAATTTTTGGTACTGGTTGAAGCCCCATTAAGCTCCTTCTTGAATGTCTTCTTGGAGGGATTTTGTTGGGGTTTTTTTCCTTGTAACTTAGGTTATAAAAGCAGCACCATAAACATTAATTGAAGAGCCATTAAGCAGTAGGGCTGTTTGTTTTGGGTTGATRGAGGACATAAAGCTTCATACCCTGTGGTGGAAAACAATTAGATCTGATGATGAACATGCTATTAAATATACCATTACCAGACTTCTATCAGTTTAACTTTAGAAAATAGCAACCAGCTGTAGCCAAAGCATGCACAAGTGATAGAAAGTCATATTTTAGTTGTCATGTCATTGACTGTTATAAATACTGTCATTTCTAATGTTTTATGCTAATGACAGTGACTAATAGTAGTCATTAGCTCATCCATTCTCATAAAAATTTCCTCAGAGTATGATCACAATGAGGATGCTGTTTAAAATTAAATTGTGTTTTTCTAAAATAGAGAACATAAAAAATATTTAAATACTGAGAGGTTGGCTAACTATTTTATTTTGTAATAACATGTATTTGACAACTACAGCTTTTGTTAATTGTGCCATAAGTTGAACAGATATCCCTTTTAGAAACATTTTTGGCATACTAGTGTGCATATATGTCATGCCTTCATATGGTCTCTGAAGAGTGGAATAAAAGGTGAATCTCACAGAAGCCATAAAAAAGTCTGATGCTACCCCTATAGAGGCTTAATATTAAGAACATTGAATTTTCTCATCCATTTCTTATTTCAGTTATGAATTCTGCTTACTTGACAGGTACAGAGTACTTCATTATGTGCACGAACAGAAATGCTTAAATGGATGAAGCAGCTATTTACGTCTGATAGGAGCTAAGTGGGACATTAAATTAATGCCAAACAAGTGAGTGCTCATTTTAGTTTTGTTATAAATGGCTGCAGCACAGCAGTAATGTGTTGACTCTTATGTGCTGACAAGTTCTATATTTCTTACAAACTTCCCTTAGAGCTCGACGTGGAAAGACAAATTCACACTCTGCACGATGAAATTAGCAGCAGATGCATTAATAATTGACTAAGGATCTCTGGAGACACACCACAGTTCAGAGAGTTGTTGACTGGCTGGTTTAAGTAGAGGCTTCTGTCCTTATATATATGCACTTACATAAGCCCTGAGTGGAGAGCCACTGCCTGTATGTGGCCTTTGATATCAAATCCACTTCCTGCTCTTAGAAGGCTTTGCAGGGTTACCTTTGACAGGTCCATCAGCAGACTGACAGCCTTTCATCTGGGCAGAGTGTGGCCATGCTCGTCTCTCCCTCTGTCTCTCTGCTCTTAAACTTCAAGGCAAACTGAATGCAGTTTCTTTTGCAATTGTCTCCAGACAATGAGTAGGATATGACTGAGTGAAAGACTTCCACTCTATGCCTTTTCATAGACCTCCATTTCTATAGGGTTGAAAGTTTCCTGAAGTGCAAATTCCAGCTTCTCTCACAGAAGGATTAGGATACTGTACTGCCATCTTCCTTCCCAGCAAATGTGATGCCCTTTGATTTATCCACATGCCCAGGTTTGAGAGGGAAGGAATTTCACAGAATCAAAGAATGGGTAAGGTTGGAAGGGAACCACAGKGAGTCACCCAATCCCATCTCCCTGCTCTAGCAGGGTCATCCTAGAGYACATTGCACGGGATTGTGTCCTGATGTTTCTTGAATATTTCTGAAGAGGGAGACTCCACAGCCCCTCTGGGCAGTCTGTTCCAGTGCTCAGTCACTGCACAGTAAAGAAATTCTTTCTCATCTTCAATGGAACTTCCTGTGCATCATCAGTTCCTGCCCACTGCCTCTTGTCCTATTGCTTGGCACCACTGAGCACAGCACTGACACCCTCCCTTCAGATACTCATAGRCAYCCATGAGGTCCCCTCTCAGTTGTCTCTTCTTGAGGCAGAATAGGCCCAGCTCCCTCAGCCTTTTTATGTAAGAGAGGTGCTCCAATCCCTAAAWCAYTTTTGTTCCCCTCCRTTGGASCCACTCCAGGAGCTCCATGTCTCTCTCACCCTGAGGAGCCCAGAACTGGACACAGATGTGTGCAGATGTGGCWTCACCAGGGCTGAGTAGAGAGGCAGGATCAGCTCCCTCGACCTTTCCTGATGCACCCCAGGGTACCATTGGCCTTCTGGGCCACGAGGGTATACATTCAAGCTCAATTTGTGTCTTTTGGACAATAGCAAAGAGCATTGCTAGAAAAATAACTCCACTTGTTAAAGATACGGCCAAGTCTGTGAGGTAATTCCTGATAGTTACTTTGTAATCCCTCCTCACACCAAATAATATTATGCTCAGAAGACATTGACAAAATAGGGTGATATTTCATCCACAGCAATACTGCTGGAGCAAATCCCCATGGGTTTRAAATCAGAATTTTATTGCTTTAGTGCAAAGAGAGTGATAATAGTTTGAATAATAGTCTGAAAATTTGTTCTAGTTAGAATGYCCAGATTTAGCACAGTGTTGCTAGATTAACTCCACAGAACTCTCCTAGCTGTCCATGCAGACTTCAGTCACTGGTTTTGAGCACAGGCTAAATTGACTTCTGTGTTTTGCTTTCCTCCAGGTTACTTTATAAACCTCAGGATCTGGAAGAAAGACTTCCCTTCAAAATATCTATCAGTGTATTTTCTGTAGTTTCATCAGCTAAAGGAAAGCTAATTCTAATCTTAAATTTTAAATATATTGCAATATTTTGCATAAGCTACTAAATTATTTAGTAAAGTGGTGTTGTCTTTAAAGCAATACTCAAGATTMATTTGTCTTTAAAACAATACTTCCATTCCTTCTATTTAGATATGGAATTATTTTTATTCAACARTAATTCATGTATTATTTATGGAGTAAGAGTTGGTATGAATCCTGTTGTAATGGAAATATAGAATTTGAGATCTTTTTAATATGAGAAGCAKTTAAACAGTTTCTGTTGTCTCTTGAAATAAGGGTTAAGTCCCAGAGATTCATATTTGTATAATGAAGTGTTGTCTCAATCTAGGTAGTTTGAAACATCCTGCAAGGGACTCAGCTGAGAAAAAGAAAATGCATATTTTGTTTTATGATACTGAACCACAATGCACATGTTAGAGAACAGAGACAATCAGGTGAAGTAAGCATACTAAAATAATACCCTGGTTTCAGCATCATGTCTTCTTTTGGAGTGCTTGAAACAAAGATGTGAAAATTAAATTGGATTTACATAAATATTTTTAGTGAATAAAAGTACCATTTCAGAATTAATATTTTTCATTTGATTCACACATATATAATACACTTCAGTGCTGTTCAGAAAAACTAATCTTACCATCATCTGAGTTTCTAAGGAAAAGACTGAGTACTTGAACAAGGTCATGAACTGCTAGATGAGAGGAATATACATGAGTTACATAGACCAAAGAGGAATAAAGAAACTGTATTGATGGGGACAGGGAGAGAGATCACGAATCATTAACTGTGGCTTTATGCTTCACATCTCTCTACAGTGGGTTTAATCCTATTAACTGATTTCCATTCATTCTGTTATTTCCATAAGTCTGCTCCAGGTTAAAAGTGAATATTATGCAATCCAATAACTTTTGTACCTATTGTTAGCATATACAAGTCACATCAGTGTTACCAATGTTTATTCTTAACATCTGAGGTAATCACCAAAATTCACAACTCTRGCAGTTACCACTCCTGTAAAAGTGAAGAGATATTTCTAAAGCCTGCTAGTGAGTAAATAAACCAATGGGTTTTATCCAGGTTTTTCAGGTCAATGGATGTTCAAAACAGCAAAGCAAATTTAAAGGACCCCTTCTCATTTCCTGTCATGGTAATTTTGCACTTGAGCATATGAGCATTTGCTATTATAAAAGCTTCTAATGTCTTCTAACACTGCCTTATACGGTAGAAGTAAACGTTGCATTTCACACCACAGCTCCAATTTGATTTCATTTTAAAAGGCATCTTGGRTACCAAATTTTTGTCTCTTGGTGATTTCCAATCAGACAAATCCACTTACAAGTAAAACCTTTTTTTACATATTATTCTGACCTTGAACATGGCTGTGGAGAAACTGGTCTATGGTGCAGCCTCCCTAAGTACTCTGTTGAGCACAAGCTACAGGAATGGCCCACACAGCTGAAGCAGAGTAGGATGCTGCAGCAGCAAATTGTTGCACAATATCAGTTCTTTCCTCAGGAGCTCTTGGARTCACAGACTGAGCATGGGCAGTGTCCATGGAGAGTCCTTGTCTACTGCAAAACAGATACACAGAGCTGAAGTYACTGTGCRTTTCCAAATTATCCTCTGAGAGCTGTGATAGCTGTGCTGAGCTGGCAGGGCCAAAAATCCAACACAGAATTCTCCACGGAATCCATTTGATTTCTTTGTAGCCCACCCTGAGAACAGAAAGGTCAGGTGTTTCTGTTTATCCTCTGTAAACCTTCTTTGAATTTAAAAAGTTGGATGGGATGCCAATTACACAGAATTATCCAAGCTTTTGAATGAAATGATATCACCTCATTTATCCCAGTAAGCAATACCATGATTCTACTGCTATTTGAGAAAGCAGGACCTATTTTTTKAACACCCCATATGAGAATTGCAGACTTTTCTTATCACAGACAAAACTGGGTATTTTTACCAGCTTTTCCCTTTTGCTTTCCAGTCTCCTGAAAGAGACTTTCCTCCCGTCATGGTGTTCCTCAGTTTCCTGACATTTCTTAATCCAGTTAGTGTGGTCTTCTTTCCTTCTTCCCTCCTGTATCTGATAACACAGAGATAATGCACAGGGTATCTTCTGATTTTGGAATAAAAACATCTATTCTGAACTTCACTATGCAGAAATGTCTCAAATTGGGCAATAACTTAACACATGCAATTCCAAAGTCTTCAATATTGCACAGTGGATCAGTCATCAAAGATATGCATGTCTTCTTCAAGGTCTCATTTAGGAGCAGATTTGTCACTGCTGAAAACCCAGTTTTGTCCTTCAGAGATTCTTTGGAAATGCCTACCTCCCATACAGCTGCAGTTTCCTGCCCTTTCTGTTACCTACCTTTGCTAATCATAGTTCCTGTGAAGTTGATAGGAGATTTGTACATAAGTTTTGCAACTTAAAAATGCCAATCTACGTGGGACTGTGAAGAAAACTAAGACAGAGCCAGCAAACCATATAAATAAATTGTGATTAGAATCCTAATCCAAGATGGAAATTCAATCCCTGCACTTTCATCCTCTTGTAAAGTAATATTTAATACTCATCTCCATAGCTATATTTGTATGCACTGAATGTCTCCTCTAATGTACTTCTAAACTTCTCATTTTAATATTTAAAACCTTTTGGAACATAGATGGTACAGTGAAGACTTTCAAAGGAGAATTACAAGTTCAAAAGCTTCAAGTTAGGACAGCAATTCTTAGTGCAAGCAATTGGATCTCTTAGTTGCTTGCTAGATAGATGCACTAAGAAAGTTAGAAGGGCTGGAATCTCAAGATGACAATTGAAAACACAAAGAAAGATGGAATACTTTTTTTCTCTGAAAAATAAAAAGCCTTGTGATTCAGATGTTGCCTGGCAGGGACAACTGCAATTCAGGCAAGGAACTGAGGGGATGTTGTGCTTACATAACAGTGCTTGCACTGAAATTACCCATAAAGACCCAAGGAGTGCAAGGTGTGTCAAAATCAGGTGACAGAGCAGACTTAAAGGGATCACCTGGAGCAGCTCCTGAAAACTCCTGCCCAGACATGAGCAGAAAGTTGGATGTTAGCAAAGGAAATTTCCTTGCCAGGACAACAGATTTTGCACTCTCCATAGCTTTAATRTCAAACCTACATAAAATTAAAACCTTCAAAGAGAACCCAGCTTTTGACTTATTTGTTGCCTTTTAAGCAATCGTAAAGAACAGGCTGGCAATGCACGCATCATTTTCCATAGTATTAAAACAAACAAAAAATGTTGAGTGTTTATATAAATAACCCAGGTTGGAATCATACTTTTATAGGGGTTAAAAACTAAATCATCAGCATGAACCACCCTCAGTAAATAAGGATAAAGTCAATGTGTGTTGGCACTCCACTCTATAATCACCTTTCACTTGAGCATGAGAGGTCTGGTGAAATGAGCAATTACACTGATAAACAGAGGACCTCTTTCAGATTGCAGTATGGACCCACAAGGAGATGGCCTCTTGGATAACCAAACCCAAGCTGAGGTGAAAATGTAGGAATATTAGATTACTATCCTTACAAATGTAAGGATGGGTTTCCCAGGAGGAATAACTGCCAGCACAGAAAGTTCATCCCCTGTCTCAGGATTCTGCTATCTCATTTTAACTCAAAGGGGAAAAGCTTACACTTTTTTGTTTGTTTTTGAAATAAGATGTCACATTGCTCTAGAATTTTTCTCTGTGTTAAATGTACAGAAGAGAATTCACCACCAGTGTTCCTCTGGTGGGGTTTGCCATTTTCACTCTTGTTAGGGGAATAGGGAGTAATGTTATCACCGAAATTATGGTTGTTCCCATTGCACATCAACACATATTTATGGTATGTATWAGAAGCATTTCAGTTCAGTGCTTACAAGGAATTAGGCATATGACTCATTCAGGTTCATTTGGCATTTAAAAAAATTGGTTTTCTCTGAGCTCTTCTGCCTTTTGCTTTCTTTTAAATTAAATTAATAATGAAATTTTCATCTACAGAGTGCACTGACAGTTTAGCCATTAGATTTTTTCAAGTATTTTAGGTGGAGGTCAAAGCAGACTATTGGGCTATAAATCAATCTAATATTGTAATTAAAACACTTCCCATTCAGCTGTTTACTGTTTCATGGATGTCATTTTTGCATCAAACAGTTGTTTCTATTGGGATGGACACAATGACTTCTAGATATTTTCTATGAATCCAGTGAATTTAAAATCAAGGAATATAAATTAGTATCCAGATTTCTGAGGTACATCTTCCCACATTTCATCAAAATGATGTTGCATATTGGTGTATGTCTCAGTTGCCTATTTTAACATAAGCTCTGAGGTGTCTTAATTGTCTTTGCAGATCTATCCTATTTATACTTTGTGCACTTCCTATTTTGATGTCTCTCAGTCATATTCTGAATAAAGTATATTCAGCATCAGTTTTTATATGAATACCAAGTGGTGCAATAGCCTTTTATTATGGCTTTCAAATGATTCCTATTGCTTTTTATCAGAATCTAACTCAGCTTTTTAACTTTTCCAATCGCCTTTTTTCCACAGAGATATTTAAGATATGACAATACTGACATAGTACAGAGAGCAAGATTTTATGTAATTACTGTGTTTTTAATTGGTAGTTGAATGGAAAATATTTTTAATATTTAGRTACTCTGAGTTTGTCTATGAAATCAGAAAGAATTATCTCTGCAGAGAAACATAAAAGAGGGTGCAATGACTGTGAGACTTTTGCAGGCTATTCTAATGCATCATATAATGACAACAGTGAAAAAATTATCTGAATTAAATACAAAAACATGTCTTCTCTATGTTCTTTGTCTGCTCTTCTTGTGCTCCGGATCTCTTTCTTAGAATTTTTACTTGCCCTGTACCCCAGAAATATGTTCTATAACATTTCTTTATGTTTAGCATTATCATGAATATACTTTTGAGTAAAACCCAACTATTTTGTAAATACTTGTGAGCTGTAGAAAATCATTCAGCTCATCCCAGTATGTGTGGATTCAGCGGTCAGAATGAGGTAAGGGTAGCATTACAATGGAAATAATTTACTTAAAGAATACAATGTACACAGATACCTTGGTAGGATCCTGCATATGACTGTTCTTTTCCATCACATGGAAATTGGTTGGCACAAGTAGTTCTCTGTGACAGCTGGAAAAAGGGACAGCAAAACTGATTTTGTCAAGGACAAAAGGAGAATGAAGGGCAACACAAGAAAAAACAATAATATATGTAGGCATAAAATTAAAGATTTGAATGATCCTGATCCAAACAAATGATAGTAAGAATGATAAATGTAATAACTGTGAARAATAAATATGAGAAGTCATTTAAGCTTTTTACTAAAACCGCAAAAGGTTGACTTACCATAAGCTATAAAAGATGTCATTAAATCATCAGCCTTTAAGAATTGCCTGTTGTGGTTTCTGAGATACTCCTTTCTCTCCCAGTACTCTGATTAATTGTGTGCAACTCCAGGAAATGGTAACTGTAAGAAAGTTCCAATGTCAGACAAAGAAAGTAAAATATCAAGAAAAGTTTAATCTTACCACTGTAAGCAATTCTATTCACCTCAGTGAGTTTCATCATAGGTGCATAGGTGGTAAGATCTGTCTCTAAATTATGCTGTGCTAAATATGAGAGCACAGCAGACAGTTTAATAAATGGCCTACATCAAGTCAGTTCAGTGGTGTTCTGTGGAGTATAGTCTGTGTACCAATAAAAATCTCCATGATTTTTATTAATTCTGTTAAAGTAGCACGCTACTCCAAATATTTATAGAGATCAAGCAGACTCACTTCAGGACAAGTCCTTCATACATACCAGAGGGACCTTTCCTGAAATGTAAATAGTTGGCATCTGCTRAACCATAATCCCTAAATCAGAAACACAAATGTTTGGATTAACAAAAAATGGAAAGCCTCATTCTTTGTTGACCTCTCAGTACACATTTTTTCACTTTCCGTGTTGTGTGCATGACAAGCATTTTTTATCCAGGACTGGAAATGCAGTGGGGTTTTGGCATAGAGACCACAAAGAACAATAGTGATTAAATCCAAGCCAGCACAAACTCTCATCAACGCTCACTGACTTCAGAAGATTTGAAATCAAGCTTTCAATTCAATGCTACACATGTGATGCAGTGTGAAGCAGATGAGGTTTGGTTCTTTTTAAGAATCAGAGAAATAAAGGATACTTGCTTTAGCTCTTTAAAAGAGTATATTGATCTGATACAGGAAGAAGTTGAGGAAATACAAAGCATAAGTTTATGAATAACATCATTTAAATATATTTGGTTTTATCCACAGAGTGTTTTAGCATCCCATTGTACCAGGGACTGTGTTCAATAACTATGAAGTGTTTGAACTGGAATTGCAGTCTGTCATATTTACAGTGCATATATATGTAGTGTAGAATAAACATGTACAGAATATTCCATTGTACAGACTAGAGCTGTAATAGTGACCAAACTGCTTTCATTGTAATGCTTAGGGAATGAAATTTGAAAATATTTTCCAAAGCAATTTATTTTTTGATAGTGTTTTTTTCTTGAAACGATCAAATACAGAGCTGTTGGAGAGCCCTGAGAAGTTAGAGGAGAATGAGAATGAACTTGCAGGTGTTGGTGCTGAGAACTGGGAGCACAATCAATGATCTTGGAAGTTCTGCCTCTTCTGGTTTGTGCTGTGGTTTTAGGCCTCATGGATCCCATGGGACAAGCCGTGATCAAGCTGGGGCTTCACAGATTACGTTCTTATTCTTCCTGAGCCACACTCCAGCCACTGCTTCCAGCCTCATGCCAGGGACTCCAATAGTTGTTTGGAGCTTCTCCAGGTCCATAGCAGGTGATGAAGGAGCTAAGTGCAGGGTAGTGAATTGGTAGCTGCACAYTGGAGCTGTCAGTGACATCTGAACCAGCACCTCTTCGGAGCCTGAGGTGCTCTCCAGCTGTTGCTTTTGACAAGATGACAGGGAAACAGCCACATTTCCTCTGAATTCTGCCTAACTTTRCACACACTTGTGACAGGTAATCAGTGTACACTCATTTTTTTCCATTTTGGATTTCACAAGTGTGTTTGGCTGGAAAGTAACTTCTGAGTTTCAGGGAAGACTGGAATTGTCCACATAAAAAAGTTTGATGCCTTGAYACTACTACAAAACAATAAAAAGTTAAATCAGTAAAATACCCCTAAGTGTAATTTTAATTGTGTTAATAAGTTCTTTTGTGTTGTATTTTCATGTTATTAATTTCTGGACACAGAAATTCACACAAAATTTCTACTGGACACAGTACACTTCATTATACTCTATAAGAAGAAYGGAGGTCTTTCAAATTAGGTTGCATAGTAAATTTTAGGTCTGTGCATTAGAATTTTCATATGACTTCAAAATTATCAAAATAATTACTTCTTGTCTATGCAAACATGAAGGGTTTGCTTCCATTTCTGTCATATTCTCTGTCATAACAAATCCAAAATTCTTGGCAGTATAAAAAATGTRCCCTGAATCCCACTGTCAATATTCACCTGTTTCCCTTTTCTTAAGRGAATGTCATTTTACCAGACATCCCTTTAACCCTGAGGTGAAGGAAAGAAGCTCTTGCCATGTTGAATAATGAGCTGTATGAATTTCAGCTGTTGGGGATCTATTTTGTGTGTCCAACAGGAGGAAAAGCTTTTTTCAGTGGTTATGACTTTTAATGTTAATAGTTTGAAATCACTGATATACTGATATCATTCAGGGAAAATCTAGTTTTTCTGCACCCTTAGTTGTGCCAAAAAGATCTTAGAAAACAATATAAAGACATATTATATTATGGCCATCACCTTGACACTAGAATTGAYATAATTCAGTGCATTTGTATTTACAGCTTGTACAGTAGCCCATTTGACCCTTGATTTTATTATTCTACTGTCATGTAATTCATATCTTTCCAGATTTTGTCACCCTGAGTTATTTATTCACCTGAACAAGGCCAGAAGAATAAGGTCTGAACCTCTAAGTGTAGCCATGAAATGAATGTGAGTTCAGAACGCTGCTCTGGCTGTGGGTCTCTGTGTCTGTGCCATCCTGGACTGTGACAGGCAAGCAGGACACAAATGTGGGTGAAAAAAAAAACATTTGATTTCTGATCTGAGGGATTGTCTGTGACAGCCACAATACTGACTTAGAGAATCTCAGACCTTGGGTTAGTCTCTGTTGCAGAATGTTATCTGTGCTTGCACAGAAAGAAAAATTYTTCCTGATTACACAAAATGCAAGATTTGGTCAATCACAACCACCATTAGTAGGGTCTGTTCAGGTTTCTTACTTTTTTCATTGTTGTTGTACTTTTATTTGTGAATATTAAAGCCAGATTTGTTTAAAACACTTGTGAATAATACTAACAGAATTATAAATGTACCATGAAATTTTTAATCATTTTAAGTAACCAAGTTTACTTCATTGTTGTTGTGCAGTTTGACTGCCTGTATTGTTAAGGGGTACCTACCTACAAACCATTTTGCTAAGCACTGCAAGGTTAACAAAGTTCCCTGCAGGAATTCAAAGGCTTGTCTTTTATCAAAAGGGTGAAAAGTGATTAAGGACTGCTTCAAAAACTAAAGGAAATTATCATTTAATGCAAGGATTCAAGCAAGCATAAAGTGGGATTTGGAGAATTGAGTCTTAAGAAACTTGCTTGACATAACTTCAAACAAAAATGAATATGTAAATGTCTTCCTGTTACTAGGAAATCTATCCCGCTACCAGGAAAGCTGATTCCTGCAGGATACATCTATAGTTTATGCCTTAAGAGGCTGATAATCTTTGAGAAAATTGTATGACTTTAAAAAAAAAACCAAAATTTTTAAAAGCAGAAAAGAAATCAGAAGGAAAAAAAAAAGGAAAAGTAAGAAAAATCTGTTACAATCCGTTGACAAAACTGATAAAATCAGATTAATTGGCATGGGTTTGGCTTACTGTTAAAATATTTGGGGACACAAAAAATGTTTCACAAACACAATGAGATCTCCTGTCATGTAAAATCCCTATGCTTTCTTCAAGGACCTGGAAAGAAAACTAGGTTTACTACCTAAATTTTATTTTTCAAAGTAAAAGACAGATTGTCCTGAAAATCAAGCRGTCAGTAGTTAACGCTGTCAAAATAACATGTCAATTTTACACRSTTGTTTAATTATACTTMGTTCATTCTTCTTCCTCATTTTAAATGGTTTTTCTTCATTTGTTATTCCCTGGGCCCTTTTTTCAGAGTCCCGTAGACACAAAACATAAAATCRATGATGCTGAAGTTTATGTAGGCTTAATATTGGGATGAAAAATGAAGGYGCCTGGTCCTGCTGTCAATAAAATGCATTTGTGTGGTTCTCCATGTAGCACTTTGAACTGGGTGAGTGACAGCAGTCTCCATCTGAGAAGAGGAACAGCCTTTGGCTCCACTGTATGGGTGGCTGGTTTTATAATAACCCAAAACATTGATGATGCTTAAACCGATTCAGATTGCCACATGTAGATGGGCAAAGTAGCYATGTGCAGTGCTGAGGAGTTCTGTCTTTTTTCGTGTACTGAYCTGCTAGGAAAATACACCAAGGATTACTGTTTATCAAGAAAGGAGAGAAAGGTTTCCTCCAAGGACTCTTTAGATTCAGCAGGAGGTTCTCGTAGTTTCTGTGGTCAGTCGAGGTCAGATTACAGTAATCAGTTCATACATGTGGTCTTCAGTGCCTCTGATAAGAATGTTCTTGAAGGCAGCCACAGTCAGAACAGGACAGTGGATGCTGATGTGCCACACTTTAATGTTAGTTCAAAGATGCAGACACTGGGAAAGTTGTGAGTTCACATTTCTGTCACTGGGGGTATGTGTGCATTGCTTGGCTAACCACGGGTGCATCCATAGGGACACCAGATCTCTGAAAGCATCTTAAATTACTTGCTTTAGTTTTGCAAGTTCCTTTGATATTGAGCTGTCCATGTGAATTGAAAGTGAAAAAAATATTTAAAACTGCATCTGGATTAATTGTAAACCCCTCCTGACGGATGACTTGCCTTCTCCTGAGGCCCGGCATTGTAGCAGGAACCAGTTGATATAACCTGCAGCTGCAACTTCTTCCTGGGATTCTGCTTCTGTTCTAGGGAAATGTACTTTTTGTTAATACTAATGTTCAGGCTCAGGAAAATAATGTATCTAAGGAATTATGTACACAAGGAACTTTAGTCTATTTCTCTTCTTGATACTAATCTGTTTTTCCTGCAGAGAATCATGTGAATTGTTACTTTTCATTGCATTCCCATGCTCATCATTTAATACCTGTGGGTGTGAGACACACCACTTAAAAGGAATTTGCTGCCCAGACTGGGCCATTTCCTTTTTGCAACAATTTATTTTTTTCTTAYTGTGTCTTTTGGTTTCATAAGTGCTAATAGAGAGATTCTTAGCCAGTGCTTTTAAAATGCTTRCTGATCCACCCAGACAGAAAAAGTAAACAACAGCCAAGCAATTGCTCTGATAGATAGAGCAGTCCCTCAGGAGGCTTTCATAACATCCACACCAACGCTGAGTTCTTCTCTCTCAAAAKCACCATTCACAGTCATTTCATCACCACCAAGTGTGTAGGTAATTCTGTAGAACATCAGTCCCAAGRCTGGCCAGTTCTCCTCAGYAGAGGTTAARCKGTTGACAAAACCACTGCTAAAAAARAAGKAGAAACCAGTCTAAARTATTAAACTTCCAGTTTAAAGCCCCACTAATATGAACACTTAGAGATAAAAGAATTAAACTCTGAACACAAGGGAGTAGTGTATTGACTTATTTTTAGTTGTATACAAAGGGGCAACTTGTGTCTAATTTTTTGTTTAGATTAATAGTTTGTTTTGCTTTAAGGATATTTTTATCCTGAGTTGTTCAGAAAAAGAATGATTTTAGAAGGACACAATTTCACTATAGATGAAAGGTGGATATGAACTGCTGTTTGAAGACAAATGTAGTCTTTGTGAGAGTAAATAGGTAAATACTATTCAGAAATTGACAATTTTTTTCTCTACATTTGTGAAACTTGCTGGAAAACCATGTGTCTTTATGGTTTGTTGAAAAATATATGGAAAATCAAAAAGATATATCAAAATGAATTCTGAAAATAAAAAAAAAAAATAGGAAAATGTACCAGTGGTGGAGTACTAAATAAATTCTTAGCTATTAATTCAGTCAAGAAAAGACTGAGAAGTAACTTTAATACAACCTTCGGGTACCTACAGGCAAAAGCTATTCCTGACAGTTAAGACCCCTCTAATTTAGGAGGAAGGAATGTGTAATTAGCTGGAGCCAAGAACTCCAATCTGCTCTCCCATCACCAAATTAACAATGAGATCTTTCAACCATTGGAACCATCTGTATCTCTCAGAAAGATAAKCTGCATCTCATTCAGAAGCTCCAGAGGCTGATAGATAACCTTTTAGGAGCATGCAGGAGCTTACACTAGACAATAATGCATAATTTCTTCTGCCAATATCTATTTCTGAATCTAAATAAAAACGRATAAGGTTAACAGAATCTGGCCCTCAGTCATATATATTTTATCATTTAATTACATTTTCATTTGAGGATTATAACTCAATTCTCTCACAACTTAATCTCTGAAACTTTTCCACAAGATCCCAGAAATAGAGTCTTTCTTATTCTCATAATTAAACTTTGAACCAAATAAAAGTTCTTCAGCTTGTAACTCTAAATTAGCATGTGAAAAATTTAAACAAACATCGTTTAAGCTTCTTTGTTATGAATGAAAGCAGCAATCATATAGCACACTAATTGTTAATATCTGTTATAGCCCTTGAGCTATGCAAATGTGTGGTTTTGTTTTGATCATGCTTGATATGCTGTGTCTTGACTAGATCTTATTTCATTCTGTTTCTACAGGTTAGTGAGACTTTAATCAAGAAAAAAAAATATAATGAACAGTAATTTGAAACACAGCATTTGGAAAGGTCAGAATGGTACATTACATCCTTATTATCCAAAAGAACAGATGAGTTTAATATCCTGGCAGCATTTTCCTGTGAAGAAGATATTAAACAAGAACTGAAAATGGCACAAGGTTCTCTCTTCCTTTTCTATGACAAAGATTGTAACAAGATGATGAAACTACACAGAATAAATCTCTTTCTGCTTTAATGATCAGACTGTGAATTCTGTCTTGATTTCAAAAACCTAAGCCAACCACAGAGCCAGCACACATGCTATTTGTTTCAACTCCTTTACAACACATTTTCCTACTTACATGGCCCATTTTCCATTAATATTTTCTAGTCTTAAACATGGGAAGATAAATTAACAGAAGGTGCACAGTACACCTGAGTTTTGTCATGTACTCACTGTGTTGAACTGCAACAAATAATGCACTGCATCAGCACTGCTGAAAATACAAATTTTCCAGGTTGTCTTTGAATAACCTAAAACCAGAGATAATGTATTCCAACACACAACACATTGCATTGTGTCCTGCTTTGGAAAGTCTCTGAAGGAGTGGGACTCTTTGAAGGCAAAGGAATTTGCAGTATATCCAATAGTTTGTTTTAATATAAGAACTGCCAGGATTTCCTACCTTAAATCATTATCTGGCTGAAGACTTCTTTTTGCTTTATAGGTCTAAGGGGAGAAGAGATCTTCTGGAACTGGATGTTGTATTTTAMTGCTAAAATATACCATCAAGGTTGTCATATTAAATGTTGTGGCAACTAAACAAATGCTGTGTTTAAAAATGAGAAAAAGTATATGGCATGCACCTGTATTAGCTACTTATATGTAATCCACATGAGATATGATAAATCTGGTCTTACCTAAGAATGTAACAAGTTAGATCTTAAAKATATTAATAATTATTAAAGAAAACRTTTTATATTGTTCCAAAAATAAAAATTAAAAAAGTCTTGCAGTATTGCTGGCTGAAATAGACCTATATGGATTTGCACAAGCTCACAATTAGAAATCGTGTCAAACCTCTTTTTCCCACACCATTCGGAGAATACATTTGAAAAAAAAACTTCTCCATGGAACATTACATGCAGCTGAGAAAAGTCATTCTGCTTTGGTCAAGAGAGGCAAAATGACCACATTCAAAATATGTTTTCAGTATCTCAAGTGAATGTATGAGTATGTATACTTGTGGAGGTTTTTTTTTTTCTTTTTTCGTTTTTTTTTTAGGTGATTTTATTTTCCACTGGAGATTGTAAATGCATTTTTCATCCTTTGTTTTGCAGCTATAAAGTAGGA